AGAGAAAGAGGAAGGGATTGGAGAATGAGCATGAATGGAAAGAATGTTAATTGATGTATTATTCAGAAATCATGTAATGATAACATTGTCATGTTTTCAAAGCTAATTAGGTGCCTTATCAACGACACCTAAAATCACTAAAACAAATTAAGTCACTTTGCAAAATGAAGAGTGTATTTATAAAGATAAATAAATAGTAGACAACTGTAATAACAACAGACCTACTGTTTGGAATTTTAGCATAAAGAGAAACAGCAATGGTCATATTTTAAGATAGATGCAAAACCCTGTAACAAAGCAGCCCTTTGTTCTGTTACTGTGCCAATTCTAAAAGCAAATTAAAACAACCAAGAACTTTACTTATGTTCTACAAAGAGATGTTTTACTGATAGATGCATGCTGATCACAGGGGTGGTAGAATTGACTACATCTGGTCAGTCTGGTATTTAGAAAAGGTCAACTCATCAGAAATGGTGTGCAGAGGAAATTTACAAGTATCTACGCTTCCTGCCGTTGAGAAGGATTAACCACACAGTAATTCAGCAAAAGCTTAAAAAATATTTAGTTACGTGTCAAGGAAAAACAACTCAATGCAGGAAAAAATATATTAAGGAAATTAGCACTTTTATGGTATCCATCTGGGTTTAATTGAGATCATTTAGCTACACAATTCAAGTTCAGCAAGCCAACTTTGAATGACGCAAACATTGCAGAAGCACACACCATCACCGTGGAGGTAGAAGGGGGAGTAGTGAATACATACAATTTTTATTAAATCAAGATCTCAAAACTAAGGGATTGTTTCTTCAGCAATTCAGATAGCAATATATGTTAAAGTTTATTCATATCAATATTAGTAAGTCACTATAATTCTATATTATTTTAGCTTGGGGAAAATACAATATAACCTAGGAGAAAATCTACAAGCATCTCCAAAGTAAATTCAGAGAAAGCTCCCTTTTGACACCAGCTTTGCAAAGGTTGTATTAATGAGGAGTGTGATTTGGCAAGTTTGAAGGGTTTGCCAGAGTGATGAAGACTATCGAGATCAGCATGAGTGTATTATTAAAAACAACTGTTGGTATTGTAGGTAGACAATGACTGGTGACTAGGAAACCAATAAATGCCCCATCTTAGCTGTTGTG